GGTTGAAGAGCAAAAGAAGGTGCAGGAAGCAGACTTGCTGATTTTTCAGGTCATTATTTTAAATAGACTTCAGTTGTGTTGTTCGCATTATCTCTCAGTAACACTACAGTAAAAAATACGGATCAGTAGTACAATTATCTGGATCATTACTACAGCAAATCCAGTAATTGAGTAACACAATGATCCAAGTGAAGTTAACAGCAAAACTGTTAACTCACCAACACTGTGCCAAACTTACTGTCTGGATACACAAAGACATCCATGACCATGGATGTCAGGCAGCCTGTCAGAAAGCAGGGCTAGGGTTATTTTCTGAGTGAGGAGCTCGAGGCAGCCAGCAGGGTCAGGGAAGTGGGCTTCCCGAACGAGATTGTTCTCATTTGTTGCTGAGTTGCAAAAGCAATTGGTAATTGCTAATGGATCTTTACAACCACTCTACATTTCCTGCTGTGCCAGCTCTGTTCCCAGTGTCTACATGTCCCAGAAGAACTGCATAAGGCAATAGTAGCCTGACATTTCTTTTGTGCCTATTGGCCTTTGACATCATCTATATATATTCCTCTCTCTGATTCTAGATGAAATTTAGGATGTGACCATATTTCAATTAAGCTTTCACCTGTAAGTCATCATCACTTTTACAGTATTGCTTCCCAGAAAAGAGCAGTAAAACATCCCCCAAAGGAAGTGGTTGCTTTCTAATTTCAAGTATGTTCCGGTGCAGTGAAAAAAAAAAAAAAAAGAAGAAATTTAAAAAAGCTTCTGAAAAACACCATAAAGTAATTTAAAATTTGCTGCAGACTAAACTCACCACTTGTAGAGACAGTGGTGATTGTCCAGTTTCCACTTTGTTTCCATCTCAAATTAAGCCACACATGGTTAAACTTCTACAAAATTTCTTCTTCTGTGTTGCAATGTGTACAAAAGTTTAGGGATAACGATGCATACTAGAATAAGAGCCAATAAAGCGCTCAAGATAAATGAATTAAGACATGATAGCTTTGGGATGTAGTCCCACAGGCTAACTGGAAGATCTATACACTAAGGCTCCAAGTGTTAAAGCAGTAGTTTTCTTCTCAATAAAGAGATTTGGAGTCATGATATCAGCAGGGTGTGAAAGTAAGTCTATCTGAAGATCCCCCAGCATTTGTCAGCAGACTGTCAGATCAGAACTGGTCACCTGATGTCAGTCCTGCTAATAAGCCATTAGATCATCTGTTGCTTTTGCATTTCACACATAGGATTCTGTACAGTGATTCTGTACAGTCTTAAGGTTGAATTAAATGGCCCCTTCCTGATTCATCATTTTCCAACTTTAATCTGGGTGGAAGCTCTCACATGCACCCTAGTGTTAGTGTGCTGTAGATGCTCAGGTATGGCCCTGAGACTGCTACAATCAGAAAGCATTTCAGGTCCTGTTGCCAAGCACAGTTACTGCCTCTCCTGACAGGGAGCTGGAAGAAGGCAGGTACAAGATCTGAACAGACTCAGAGAATAGGATTTGGCCTGTGAACCAGGTCTAAGGGTGGTCCAGACTCTCTGTGCTAACCAGGTAATTTCCTCTTTGCCTAGTTTCCCTTGTTTTGGTTCAGCATGCCTGCGATCCTGAAGGGCTGGATGGACAGAGTCTTGGTCCAAGGCTTTGCTTATGATTTGTCCAAGTGTTATGACGGCGGTTTGCTCCAGGTATGTTTTTGAGATTATTAAGGTCAAGGTTTGCACAATGTTCTTCTGGGCATTGGTCCTTCTTTCACTTTGTAGTTGTTTAAAACTCTTACACTATGCTGTCTTGAAATAAACGCTTTCAATAAATAAATATTCAATAAATAAATATTGTTACTTTATTTGAAATAAAGTAACATGTTGAGTAACTTTCTGGCTTGTTCAGACTGTCTGGAGGGCAGTACAATAAGGAGAATGCAGTGGTTCCTAAAGATTTAAACCATCTCATAGAGACCTTTACCTTTACATATAGGCCTACTATATGGGATTTATCATTTGGCAGGAGTATCACAGTGTAACATACAGCTTGCAAACAGTTTAAATTGATCCATTTCCTAAAACTTAAGTCTGTCTTTATTCCCACCACCACAGCACTGCACATATCTGTCATGACTGACATACTAGAATAGGTGTCAAAGTCCTGTTCTGAGATTAGATGTCTTAAAGGTTAGAACAGAACTACAAAACTTTATCAGAAATCTGGAATATTCAGTGTATGAGCCTCTGTCACAACTATCTACTTTGAACCTTTTCTTCTTTGTAACTTCTAAATTACGTAAGACCAGCCTCTCTTGATGATGTTTCATAAATTTTTAATTCTTCACGGCATGGAAAATCCTGGAATCCGGTGTCTGATGGATCTTATTTAGTAACAGCTGCAGCATCCGGAAACAAGCAATATTAGCTTCACATTTATGTTTGCTGCATGTTAATCTCTGCTAGTTCTGATCTTCTCAACAATTCCAAACATTTCAGTTTCTTTAAATTTCAGAAATGGCTGGTTCACTGACATAAATAGGCATAATCCCCAGTGATCAAAGCTGCATACAGAGTGCAGGCTCAAGGCACTTGGGATACTGCACTAGAAAATTGTTATTTCAATTACAGAAGCTAAAACTGAGATTAAGAGAATCTGAGCAAAGGCCCATGGCTAATGCTGTAGTTACAGAAGCAAAGAAACATGGTGGTTTATAACACCTAGGGAATAATTTGTTCTTTATTTATTCATTGGCAAGTGACAAGCAAGCCCAAGTTTGAAGGTGGACTTTAGCAAAGTCTGGGAAAGAAGAAGACACTCCCTCTTCCAGAAATTTATGCTGTCCTGGTTTCCCTGAATATCTCTTGAACTGTTGGGCCATTCTTCTTTAAATGTGTCTAACTCCAGCACCACTTTCTTAATTCTAGGACAAATTATCCCTGTTTTCTTTCACCACTGGAGGAACCAAAGAGAAGTATGCAAGCAGAGGTGATGTTCGTTATCTCCTGTGGCCCATGCAGGTATAATGTATGAATATTTGGTTACTGTTTGCTTTCATTTTTACTATTTATTTTTAATACTTGTTTTATTGTTTATTTTATATGAAGTATAATAAGAAATTAATAAGTTGCCCACTCCAAGCATCTGCAGGTTATAAACTGGGCCTTAAATCTCAAGACTACTTTAAAAGTCCAGTAAGGTTTAAAGCTGTTTTGTGCCCCCTCCTTCAGATTAGAATTTG